ACACAGCATTCTTGATGGCCATGCGATCAGGGCATCTGATCTGATGATAGAAATCTTTTCGATCTGTGACGCAGCTGCGAAGGGTGCACGTTGCTGGGAGGCAGTAAAGCCCAAGCAGTGAAAGAGTTGCGGGAAGGGTGACGGAGGGCCTCTGAGGGCCCTCTCCGCGTAATTTCTTCCTCTTCCGTCACCTATCTGCCCATCACAGGATTGGTTCTTGTAGCAGTTGAAGATCCTAACAAAATCTGCCGAGGAGTCCCACTTTCTTGCTAGGCAGGCGACTTCAGACTTATCTTCCTTGCTTACGTCTGGATGAGCCACAAGGCAGCGTCCCATCGCGCAGCAGGAGGTCCGGCTCCTGGCAGGCGCCCACGGGCTTGGGCCCCACTGCGCACCGCCAGAAAGCTTCAGGCGATCGGCCACAAGAGAAGAGTAGGGCTCAGTGGCACCAGGCTTGGCAGTGAAAGGTCGGCTGACCTTGACAGAAGCGGCTGTAGGGGTCTGACGAAGGACCAAGGTCGGAAAGCTCCTGCGAAAGCTCCCAAGCAATGCGAGGCAAGCGGCCCGCACCATGAAGCCATGGGCCACACGTCTCACTGCAAACGCAACCCCTGACTCTAGTGGATTTATTTGTCGGGACATGGGCAGAGATTCCTGGCTAAGGAACCGGCAAGGGGAAAAGGGCATGAGCAGGGGCTCGAAGGCCGCCCTGGCAAAGGTGTAAAGTTGATAACAGAAACGCAGCTGGAAGAAGCTGCAGAGCACAAACTGGGAACAAGAAGTGAGCTGGCGACTGACGGCAGGCTAGTTCCTCTCTCGTCTGGGCTGGGGCAGAGCCTCGGCAGGAGAGAGGCGGCGGAAATTGCCACTGCGCAGACCGCGGCTGCTCAGAGCGGGGCCCCCCGATGCGCCCAAGGACAGGTCAGCTGTGTCCCAAAAACGTATGGGCGGGCTGAAGCTTTTCGGTTGCAGGGTCGAGGTTTATGCCTCCATCCTGGCTTGGGGCAAAAAGGGTGGCCACCTCAAAGGGGGGTTTGCAGAGAGGGAGCCTTTACCTTTAAAGGTGGCCCGATTCCCGGCCATTGTCCTGATGAAAGCACCTGTCACGCCTGCCTGCGCCGAAAGGTTTGCTGGTGCGTCTTGGGGTGGCTGCTCCGCGGCTCGCGAGCATCCATGTCGGTAAGCTGCGCCGAGAGGGCAGGAAGTAGCTGACTGATGCCCCGTGTATGGTCGGCCTTTTGCTTTTGGCAGCGGGCTTCCTTTGGGAGCTGCTTCCGAAGGAAGGGGGGCTCCACGCATTCCGTCTCCAAAATGTCCTGGAGTTGCGCGCAGGGTCATGAAGCGCAGCATTATGAAGATATGTTGCATCAGCATGTCTCAGTCTGCAGGCAACTCGGAGCATGTGTTGCCTGGGCGCGCGGCGCGCGAGCCGATTTGTTGGCGTCCGCAGGGGCCGATGCGCAGGTTCCCTGGGCGCGAAGCAAGGCATCCATTATTTCATATGTCCACCAGTTGTTGTCTCTGGCACACCCGTTTGTGTCGGTATCCTCTCTTTCCGCTTGCTGTCTCGACTTCCAGTACTCAGCGTAGGGAGCCCTGGCTATCCACTCACCCCTGGTTCGCCTCCTCGTACCATCAGCTCTGAACCGACTGCGCGGTTCTCTCCTTTCCCTGGGTTTGGACATGGCGGCTTCGTGAGGCAGATGCTGGTTGGCAGTTTGTATTGCAAGCACATCATGGACGCAGTCAGAGGTGAATACATGTTGGCAGCCTACATGCTGACACCTGCCTGATTACTGCAAGCCCAATGGCCCTTCTGCTCCGCAGGTTGGGGCCCAGCGGGGCAGCCCGTAAACCTGCCAAATGTGCAGTCGGTATAAGTAAAGGCTTGTGCACTGCTCGAACCTGTGCCCATAATTCTCTAGGAGAGTTCCCTGCCAGACAGAAGTGTAGAGGTAACCATTGAATCAACCCTAGCTGAACGCGCCTCCCTGCGGTCCCTGCCTGGATTTAGGACTTGGCCTTTCCTGGTGAGGTGGCCCAGGCCCGAGGCGCAAGCTTGGCAGTACAACAGCCAGGCGTGATAGAGCAAATAATCCATTTCAAAGGATATATTAGTGCTCTGTTGCGTGCTGCTGCCAGCTGGGCCAGCGGGGTGCTCACATGAATCTTCTGCATCCGTCGTTGTGTGTCGGCCTCGGCGTCTTCGCTTTGGCGGCTCCGGTGCGTTGTGTGAGGTGGGTCTGAGAGGGGTGTGTGGAACCGGTTCCACCTCATCTGCCTCCTCGAGGTGCGCGCGGACCGCTTCTCCAATCTTTTCGGCAAGGTCACGGCTTGCTGACCCTGGTTCTGATTGGGACGGTACCTTGTCGGCCATGTTGTTATCATGTGCTGATTGCTGCATGAGCACTGGAGCCGGGGATGCGGCATGTCAGGAACAAATGTTGAGCACACACAGGGGCCCCCAGGGCGTCCCTCTCGTAGCAAGCACTGCCAGAAAAATCTGACTGCGATGCTTACGCTGCCATTAGTCTTACTTGGGTCACCAAAGGTGCTCACATCTACCCCATGCTCCCACTTCATTCGGCATACCGCTATCATAGATGATGGTGGCTTATCCTGCAGTATGCCTATCCTCAAGGTCATGTTTAAGCTGGATGCATCGCATTCTTCGTTCAATAGGCCTGCATGTGTGTCTTGCACATTCATCGAGAAAGTTGGCATACATTTCAAGCAGCGCACTGGTGCCAACCACGGTCGTATCTTCCTCACACTTATCGCATGCTTTGGGTTCAGTGCTCCTTGCAGTTTCTGTTGCCCCGGCCTGCTTGGCTTGTATGTCTTGTCTCAACAGCTCCACAAAAATCTTAAAGACATGTCCCCCAAGGAATTTGAAGAAAAACCATATATGATGCAACATGTCCGCTCCCTCATGTTTTTTGTGTACGAGCTTGCTGGCTTCGGCCTGCACAGACACGATGTTGGCTTGGTGTTCTTTGAGGTAAACCCAAAAATCGAGATTCCGAACATCTGTGGTGCATATGCCGCATTAGCCCAACGCAAGTGCAATCCTCTCAAATATGGGAACGCTGTTGCTGCATCTGGCTTCTTCAAAGGGCGGGCATGGCCACGCTCACTTTTCAAGACTGTGTTGTATTTCAGTGCAGCTGTCAGGCTCCATTGCTGGTCTTTGCGCTTGTGAGTTGCTGCGTTTTTGTTTGCACTTATCTCGCAGGCTTGCAGCAGCACTGTCACTAGCAAGCATATTATCCAGATCCATTGCATCAGTCTAACGCAGCTCAGCAACGAGCAGAATTTGAGCCGTGGTGCTCACTACTACTACTACTACTACTGCTGCTGCTGCTACTACTACTACTACTACCACTGCTACTACTACTACTACTACTACTACTACTAAATATGTTTTTTTAGATGCTTGCCGCTTGCCCTTCGTCCTTGTCCCTATTATTCTTAATACAAAAGTCTGTTTTTTAATGCTTATTTCTTTGTTGATGCGCTGGGCGTATGTTTGCTCTTTGAAAAAAAAACGCGAGGGGGTTGGGGGAAGCGCTGCCCCACCAATTGCAAAACCTGGACAAAGATTAGGATACAGCATGTGCCTTCTTTTGCCACGGTAATTTATTTGGCAGTGCGATGTGATTACTGTTGAGAAAAGGATGAACGTGATCAACAGAGATGGGAATGATGAAATTGTATGAAACTCCATGAAACGTGATGATAAAATGAACATCATGAAAAGTGATTCAAGATTCTGGGAAGCGATGAAACATGACAGAAAATGATGAAAACGCATGAGAATCCTGAAAAAATGACAAATCGTGAAAATGGTGGGAAATTATCACAATGATATCATGGAAGATGATAACAAACATATGAGACCATGAAAAATTGACATATCATGCAAAACCATGAAACACAATGAAAAAAAGCAAGGAAAATCATTGACATGAAGGAACAACCCTGCAAAATGATGAAAACATTGGACAATTAGAAAGAAAGTCATGGGATGTCATGAAAATGAACATGAACATGATGAACAAATGTCGGGATTCATGAATATTGATGAAAACTGATGAAACATGATGAGCAATCCTTCCTTCATTGCTTCCTTCCTTCCTTCCTTCCTTCCTTCCTTCTGCCTGCCTTCCTTCCTGCTCTCGTTCCTGCCTGGGTACAGGGTCGAAGCTCAAGCATCAAAAAAAGCATTCCGGATTGGTGTACTCTACGCAATATTTTTTGTTGATTCTTAAAAAATTGTTGCTGCTTATAAAGTTTTTTTGATGCTTATAAAGTTTCTTTTAGCCCCTATCACTTCCACAGTGGTATCGCGAGCTTGGGGTGTTTCAAAGTTGCGGGCCATGCACGAAAAAAATCGTTTTCGACAGCGGAACCACTGTGCTGACAACTCCCAGCCCCACATTTCGATAAAGTATGCTGCAAAACACGACTTGAGGAAGCATGCTCCACAGCAAGACTTTGCCAAGTGTGACAGACTTACACACTCGCAGCCTCGGGGAAAGGGAGGGTCGCCTGAGTTCCGAGGCGAAAAGGAGTTTGAGGTGTTTAGCTTGAACCGGGAGGAGTCTTTTGGTTTCAAGCTCCAACCCAGGCCTCACAAGCACTAGAAGCCCAAGCAGAAGCTAGGCCTAGGACATCTCCTTAGACGATACCTGGTGGGGGCTTAGCCAACAAAGTGGAGGCAGCTGTAGCACCGGCTGGGTTTGGGCGCCTGGTGTCATCAACACATCTAATTCAACACATCTAATTGCAGTTGCAGCCGCCCGAAACTGCACGCCGCCGGCAACAGTGGCGGTATGTGGCGTCTACGGTCAAATCGGCGCCAGTTGCTACAGTCGTCGTAAATACTGCAGCGCTGCCCAAAAAGGCCGCCCCTGGAAAGCTTGGCAAAAGGATGTCGGACGATGGCGGTGTGTCGGTGCAGGCAAACACAGCAACAAGGCGACGGTATTGGCGCTGGGTCACCGCCAACGCGCCTCTGGTGTCGCCTGCGTTCGCCACGATGCGGACGACCGCAGCCAAGTCGGAGGCTCAAGCAAGCGGCAGGAAACTACAAACACAACAGTTTGAAAAGACAGCAGTGTCCTGGCAGTCAACTGCGGCATGGTCTGGCAGTCTGCATATGGCAGGATGCCTGCAAAGAGTTCCTTAACGGTCAAACCGCTCAAGCCGCCTCACAGCTTCCAGCCACATTGCATGCGAGAAGCAATCAGGATGCAACCGGCAGCCCACATGTCGACTTTTTCCTGGAAGTACCAACGCAACATGCTTCGGGAAGATTGATGCAACTAGGCAATGAAGTCTGAGTCTGGCAGCTGTCAGTTTGCCAATCTTGGCGTCATAGCATTCTGGTGCCATGTACCGCGGAGAGCCGCCCTCGCCATCAAGCTTGCGAGCAATGTGAGTGGACCTGAATGCCCACTTCGGGCGTCTGCAAGCCCCACAAAGTAAAACCATGTTTCAAAACTCATCTCACCACTTGGAGCTGGACTCCATGCACATCTGGTGCGCCAGGCCGAAATCGCAGATCTTTGCATGTTTAGTGGAGTCCAGAAGGATGTTCATTGACTTCCTCGTGGCAGGCAAGGGCATTCAAAAAGATCTCCTTGCAACACACTTACAACATGCAAGGCACTGCAAATCACATGCTTGCAAGCGACAGATCCCGATGCACCACCCGCTGCGAATGCAAGAATGCTAGGCCCTAGCATGGCGTGTCCGCTTTTCAAGTAGACACATCTGTGATCACCGTGTTGTGTCAGGTCACTTGTAGGCCTCTGCAGTTTGCCCAGCAATTGTCCACCGCTGCAAAGTGGAGAGTGGCACTGTCTTCCGAGGCCCAAAAAGGCAGTCATGCAACGATCCACCAGCCATGTACTCCTCACACGGGCATCCATCAGATGGCCAAGAACTTTCAACTTTTCCTCAAGGATCAAGGACTGATGAGCTTTCATGCTTTCCAAGACTCGGTAACTACAAGTAGCAGCGGTGGTTGCACACATGCACCGATGAAACGGACCAAGCGTGGGTGTCTCAGCCTGCGGAGGGCGTCAATCTCCTTCTTCATGGCCTGCAGGACCAGCTAAGTAATTAACAATTACCTTGCAACCGCTCTTCAGTTTGGCGGTGCCCTGGCCTCCAAGTGTGCCACGCCAGAGATTCGCTTCACCGCCACCTGGAGTATGATGTCACAAAGCATCACCAAGCACCGCCCAGCAAATCGTCAAAATTTTGACCATCTCCCTTGCTGAAAGTGCCAGTCGTCCGACGCACGCCTCTTGGCCCTTCCAGTGTCCTCGGAACACTTGGGCTGATCCGCCGGCACCTGTTCAGGACACGAATCAGGAAGTTAGCAGCAAGCGGTGGCACCTAGCTGTGGTCCCAGTACCAGGTGCTCAGGCTGAATGAGCTCATTCCAACCTTGGCCATCGCAAGCAAACGTAAAGCCACTGCGTGCTCAAATAGCTAAGCAAACCTCCGAACTCTTGCTTGGTGCTTGCTGCCGCATGTTGAGGCAAATCTGGACAGGGACCACTTTGGATTCCTGGAAGCTGTGTGAGACTCGGACATGGTGCCGATGTCCAACAATGCTGTTTATGCAGAGAGGACGTTGAGTTTGTAGGATCAACAGACGTCTCCGCATAGGAGCTCTACCTCAATTTATCCGCAACACTGAAAGCTGAGAGGTGTGTTGTGTGATTGTCCTTCAATCTGGCTGGGTATCATTCGGTAGCCTACAGACAATACATCGCCGGATTTGGCCACCAGGAGGGAGTATGACCACCCCGCGTCAACACCTTCGATCTGTTCCTCCAGAGGCATCTGTGTCGGCACCAGTTTTGAACCCCAGCCTCCCATACCAAGTTGTCCATAGCCGTTGTCACCAGCGGCATAAACGTCACCAGACTGAAACAGTAAAACAGAATGAAAATCTCCTGCAGCTATGCCCTTCACTGGAGCATGCACCAACATTTTGACCGGAACCACTTGATCTTGTGACGTCCCCAGTCCAAGTTGACCATGTGAGTTGCTGCCCGTGGCAGCGACTTCACCAGTTTCCAACAACAGTACAGAGTGATATGTTCCGGCTGCAATGGCAACAGCCTTGAGACCTCCAAGCATCCTCGCTGGCACTTGCTGATCCCTGTTGTTGCCAAGCCCAAGCTGGCCATAAATGTTGTCACCAGTGCTGAAGACCTCCCCAGTAGCCAGCAGTGTCAAGGAATGCGTGCAGCCAGCTGCAACAGCAATTACTTGGCCATCGATCTGCATCTGAACGGGTACCAAATGAAAGCCAGAACCGTGTCCAACGCCCAACTGCCCGAAGCTGTTTTGCCCAACTCCGTAGACAGCGCCAGACTCAAGCAGAAGCAAAGAAAACCAGCAGCCAGCAGCTGCTGACACAATTTTGGAGGGTAGAGTATCTGTCCGCATTTTGACAGGGAAGAAAAAACTCCTGGTGGTCCCAGTACCTAACTGGCCATGATTGTTGTCACCGAATGCATATGCATCACCACTCTCTGTGACCAGCAAGGAGTGAGTGCAGCCAGCTGCAACAACCTCTGCACTTGGATGCTACTCTAGTGACCCAATACAACAATATGAAATCAAAGCGAGCGTGCGCTCAAAGATTCAAAGACTGCTACGATTAGCAGCATGCCAGCTGCCGACACCACCGCTTGCAAATACAGCCGGGCCTTGACGGGCGCATCCGAACCAACTCTCACGGCAGATTGCACAGCCTGCAATGAGAAACCGGTACAACATTTTCATTGCAGCAGAATCACAACAACCATGAGTCTTGCCGTCAAGCGGTCCTTGTTGTGGCCCACACCAAGCTGTCCCTGCCGGTTATCACCCGCAGCAAACACGTCACCGTTCTCAAGCAAGATCAAGGCGTGATCTCCACCAGCCGAGACAAAGGACACCTGCTGCAGAACCCAAGTTATTAATTAGTTACACGCGCTTTGCGCAAAACGTTGACACTTTGCAGCAACTTGAAGCCAGGCATGTGCACAATTCCAGCAGCAGCAGAGGCTGCAGCAACAAATAGCACATGACATGCTTGTGAGCCGTGCCAGGAGGTCCCAATGATTGATGAACAACTGACGGTACATGTGATTACGACCCTGGCGAGACGGATGGTCATGATGACATTTTTCAACACCGCTCGATGCTAACCTGCAACCCGTATTTCTCGAACTTGCAAGAGCTAAAAACAGCTACAGGTGGGTTCAAACCTTTAATAAAGCACCCTGCGTTCGCAAATCGCAAACAAGCTATTCAGTGTGCACATGACCTGCTTTGGAAAAGGAATCTTAGCTCAAGCCGCTTATGCCTTTGTGTGTCTTACACTGGGTTGTTCAAGTTGTCATTCCCTACGCTTGGCTAACAAGAGCAGTCTAAGCGGACAGCTAACTTTTTTGGCACGAGGTGCGAGAAATGCAATGCATTGCAGAGGATATCTTTCTACCCCCTGTGAGACGTATGTGAGAAGAGCGTTGGAAACAAAGCTGTGCGAGCATTGTAGTGCAATGCGTGCCTGAATGCCTAGAAAAGGCAGTGCGTGCAATGCCTGCGGTGTTAAAAACCCACGGTTGGGCGGGTGGGTGCAAAAAACTTACTAAGCCTGCGGCTGGAGCCAAGCTATGCGAATGCACATGACGTTACCAGCGTAAGGTTAACGCAACTAAAACATACATGAGAAAAGAAAGACATGTAACGTTCAAGTTGTCATTCCCTACGCTTGGCTAACAAGAGCTGTCTAAGCGGACAGCTAACTTTTTTGGCACGAGGTGCGAGAAATGCAATGCATTGCAGAGGATATCTTTCTACCCCTACTTTAGGTTCGAGCACCTCTGTGACAAAGTCGTTTCCCCCTCCGCGTCAGAGGGGATCGTACCTGCAGCAGGAAGTGTGCAGCGAAGTGCCGAGCAGCATGCAGTGCTCACCCTTGAAGTGCTGAAGCAACATGCGGTAGACATTTTCTTCGCGGGCGAGAGCTGAGGTCAGCCTAGATCTGCGAGTCTAGGCGGAGCTGCGCTTATGCGGCGTGCGATGCATGCAGCACGACATATGGCTTAGTGCTGTGCGTCCAGCAGGCTGTGCCCAGGCTGCATGCGGAGGGTGCAGTGCCACCACGCCTTGCGGGCGGGCCAGCATGTCTAGTGGGATGCGATCTCTATCTGCAATGCGCCTGGCAAAGCGCTGCAGCTTGGATCTGCTGAGTTCGTCTGCCCAGACATTTTTCTCGCCGGCGAGATGCGAAACTGCGAGGTGCACGTTGTGCCGTGCAGACCAGCATGCCACCAATTTGAGAAAGGTGCATAGCGGCTCGGCGGCGGTGAAAAGTTTATTGATGCCAGCTTCCGCTGCTGTGTTATCTGACGCAGTGGGAAGCACAAAGTTGAAGTGCCTGGAGTGCAATCTGCGGTGCGCGAGCATTGCCAGCGCAAGCTGTGCAAGCGTTTCAAAACATGCAATGTATGGCTGCGCTGACTTAGTGAGTTGGGGCCAGTGCTGTCGAATTTCTGTCATTGACCATGACTCTGAAAACCAAAGGAATTCAGTGGAAGTGCTAATCCAGCCACCTATGCCAACTGCGTCGCCTTCTGCCATGGCGTCGGCGGCTGCCATGCAGAGCAACAAGGGTGACTGGCGCAAGGTGCGGAGCTGATCATGCTGGAAGCATGCAGACAGCCAGCGCAGTGCATGCCTGCTCTCGTTGCGAAGATGAATCTCAGTGCAAGCGGGGTCTGCAAGGCGCACCCATTGAGGTTTATGTGAAGGCGGGATGCGTGTGACGTCTTGCTTGCTTTGCACGGACACGGATCCGACTTCGAGGAGCTTGGACCCTGCGGGGATCCAAAGGCCTGCGAGTTGGTGTGCAACCACCGCTTCGGGGGTGAGGCTGTCCACAAAGCGCTGCCAACCTCTGGCGAAGACTTGGTGAAGTGTACCCTGGCCGCTGCGCAAGTCTTTGTAGAGCGGCGCAAGGTATGGTCTAAGATGCGGGCACGCGCTTGTGGCCCACATGAGTAGCCCCAGGGAACTTTCGAGGCGCTTGCGAAGGATTTTCTTTGACTTTGCCAGCTTGTCGAGCTGGTCTCGGAGCTTGGCGAGCTTGCCTTCAACCAGGTGCAGAGCTTCGATGTCCAGGTGAAGGTCCAGCCGCACCAGGTTATGCGGCGCCCCAACTGCGCCTTTTTCCAGCTGATGGGGGCGTTGATGGCTGAGATGAAGAACGTGAGGAGCACTGCTTGCTGTTGCCACGTTGCCTGCGCAAGCATTCCTGAAAGATCAAACGCGTGTAATTTTACATTTTACATTTTTTAATTTTGCACACGCTTTTGTAGTGTAAATTTGT